TACTAATCATTAACATAGCCTTTTCTCTCTGTGTTTTGGCAAAACATTTGTGAAGTTATAAAACGTTTTATCTAGATTATCTCCCGTTTTTCTCCATCAGTAAAACTCCACAACAACAGGTGTACTTGACATTTCGGAATCCGAGCCGGGAAAACAAAGAAAATAAGAAGGAAAAAAGAACCAAGGTAGAAAAAAGACATTGAAGTAGACTTTACCAGCGGCATCCTCCAGCCACCCACCCATAAGAGGGAACAGAGCACCGCGTAAGTACTTTTAAACTGTTCGTTGTAATTTAGCGCAGTACTGTTTGCAACATACATCAAAAGAAATAGCAGGGGACAGGATAACAAGGCAGAAAATGAAAAAGGAAAGAACTATTATGTCAGAAAGCAGCCTCAGAAACAACCATGGTTGAGAAGCGCCAAAGACGAAAGGTAAACAGCAGAAATACAGAGCTTCGATCCACCTCATTGACATATAGCACTGTGACAGAATCTGCGCTTCAAACATAGGAAGAATAAGCCATGAAAAAAGCTGCATGAAGACAACCCTGAGACCATCTTTCACTAAATTGACCGTCTGATAGACGAAAAGAGCCATACACTATTTGCCAGAGTTGCATACTCGACTACGGTGTTGACAATAAGTCTGGAACTCTTTTGAATGCGTGGCTTAACATACAGCGTTAATCAATGTAAGCTTTAAGGAATATCCACATACACTTTTGAAACGTACACACCCTTTTGGTTTTGATAAGAGTTTTACGGCACTCTGCAACACAGTAAGGTCATATGAGTGCCGAAGATTATAAGAGATGTTACAATAGAGTAACAAAAAAGAAGGAGAAGAGATGAGGACGGTAGATGTTAGATAAGAAAGAAGGAGTAAACTAGACTACCCATATACGCACCCATTTGTGCGCGTGCGTGCGTGCGTGCACACACACACACACACACACACACACACACACACACACACACACACACACAAATACAATGAACATGCGTACAGAAAACAATGCTCGTCCAAACAATAATAAGTATATATGTATACAGGTGCAGCTGACCAATGAAAGACAGCTGTAGACGTACCCACTTTATCGGCCAGAGAGACAGAGGTTCAGGCAAAAACAGTAAACCGACTGAGACAGACTGACAAAGCAAACTCACAGACAGATAATCAAAGCACTATCGCAAACCTCCGAAAACATTTTTTTTTTCGGGG